GTGAGGAACAGAAAATACCTTGGTTTTTTAGCCAAAACATAACGTTCTAAGAGAAACAAAGACATAGAGTCAGCACAAATTGAAACAGAGCGAAAAGGACCGGAAAAACCATCTAACTGACTCAACTGTGGCGAACGTCGCCCAGTTCACCAAGCAACCGCAAGGTCAGCGGAGAAAGAGGAGTGAAACGTAGTTCGTGGGTCGTCAGATGTCGTTTGACTATGCTTATAAACTTTTCACGGTGCATGGCTGTCACAAACGGTTTCAAAATTTGTGACGGACATCCGTGCAATATTGTAAACAGCATGCAAGAATAAATAAAGCTATTTTTTCCTCAACTTCGGTTTAGCTACAGGCGAGCATTAAAACAACAGCATCATCGATGCCCAATTGCATAAATTGCCGCCAGCTGGTGTTGTGCATAACCGACGAACTTCTAGCCAGTTTCGTTTCCTTATTGAACACATAACTTGCATTGGTTAACCGTATACCGTAACACCGTATAGTTAACTGGCAGGTGGGTCAAGGTGATATGCAGCCACAGGGGGCGCTAGCGTCGGTGGCAGCATGGCCGTATCCCTCTTCCGTTCTGTTGTGAGTACAAAAGGACAACGAGCTACAGAGCCGACAATAATGCTTAAAGCCAGGCATGGCAATGATGCGGCAAGACCGACATATTACCGGCATATGCTGAACTTCGAACCAGTTTCAGTTCGTACCAATGTGGTAAATCATCACCACTCTAGGCCGTAACATATATACATCATTCACCACGAAACGACAGTCAATCGATAAATGGAGTGAGGCACGGAAGACGTTATTATTAATAATTGCAGAGCCTTCAGGACACGAATCGTGTTCCTTCTTCAACCCATAATAGTATGGAAAACCAACTCCCATCAACATACTCAGAGGCCAGCAGGCACAGTAGGCGATTAGATTGAAGCGTTCTAATGATGTGATACACAGGAACAAAAGAAAATGCGTCAACGCAAAGAAAGACACGATGATAAAGATATTTTTATGTGCCCTTCATACTTCGCAAAGGTTATGTTACTCAAAAATGTT